AGTATTTTGTGGTGTCTTGTGACTGAATATTCTTTCCATCATTTGAAACCCGATGAGGAAGTGGCTGACTTCCGACACCTGCTAACTAACCATCATCAGACAAACAGTTACCATTGTAATGTGTTAAAATAATAACATTAAATGACTGTAACTGTATGAGTACTTTTACATCTACAGTACATGTTAAGGTTTTATGTATTTGTTTCAGAGAAAGCATGGACACCACCTTAACAATATGAAGAGATGACATCAACAAAGAGAAGAAGGGCCCTTGTGACTCCCACTACCAGCAGGCAGACCACATTAGTGAACACCAGGACTTTGTCTCAGAGGTCCATAGACAAAGCTGTGATGAAGTATGTGGTACTCGGGCTCCAGCCATTCTCTGCTGTGGAACAAGAATCATTTAGAGATTTTGTGAAGGAACTGCAGCCTAATGCAAACGTTATGTCAAGAGTGAGCCTGCGCTCCATGATTGATGATGCGTCTAAGGAAATGAAGAGGATGGTGACTGAAGCCATGAAAGAAGTTGACCATATCGCCACCACCACCGACTGCTGGTCTTCAAGAAGGCGGAGCTTCATTGGAGTTACTGCCCACTGGATTGACCCCGACAGTCTAAAAAGATGTTCAGCTGCCCTAGCCTGCAAGCAGCTTAGAGGTTCACACACATTTGATGTGCTGGCAAGTGCCCTAAACTTGTGTTCTGTTCGGGTCTGTCAGACCTGTTTTCACTTTTCATCTTAAGAAAAAATTTCTAATTGTTTTTTTGGGCTGAAATTCAAAGACCTTAGCTCATTTTGTGTGAAGAACACAAATCTGAAGAAATTTTTTATGCAAGACCACTGCAACCCCCCCACCCACACCCCACCGCATTTAGGTTACACTGAATCTGTGGGGTCTATAAAACCCTGCAATACCTTAGGCCAGTTGGCCTCACATTGACCCCTCTGTAGTCATCCTGTTGAAAGCCAATTGACACACACAGTCCACAACACATCCACACACACACACACACACCAGTCCCCTACCCCCACTCCAACCACACAAGCGGGGGTGGGTGGACTTGTTCAGATTGGCCATTTACTGTTGTTGTGACTGTAGCGGTACTCCTTAGCCTTTAGTGCTGCTTTACGGTGCAGGTCTTATGCAGTAAGTATGACATGACATAAACAAGTTCCACAGTCCAGTTCTTGGTTTTTACGAAGGGTTTACTAAATAAAAATAAACATACAAAAAAAATGTTTCTTGGTTCCTTGTCCAAAGTTACAAAGGACTTGACAAATTACTTGCTTATAACTTGGTCAGAAAAACTGTGTGCTCAGAGCCTGACCGTCCGAACCTTCCAAAAAACAAAAAACATATCCAGTCACATGGTTAACAAACAACAATATGCCATAACATAACATGTCTAGAGCACATTGTATAAAACAAACTTATTATTCCAAAACATAAAGCTATGTTGGCTATGTTTTCTTAATAACTACGTAAACTAAACATTTTTCAGATTGGCTCTTACAG